CGAGCACGTGGGACGCCGGCCTGATCCCGGCGCGGGTGGGAGGCTGGGCGGGCGAGCTCCGGGTGTGCGGGAGTCCCGGGCTCCGGGAGCCCGGCGCGTCCTGTCCCGTCGGTTCTGCAGCCGCAGACGGCGGGAAGGAGGGAGACTCCGAGCGTCGCTGCTCAGTGTCTGGCCCGAGGGAGCGTTTTTCTAAACCCTGATGCTGAAGGTGCGACCCCAATACCTTGCAGGGACTGGGCTGCGAGTCCTTTTCGGCGGTTTCCCAGAAAGTTCAGGCTGTGGTTGGCTTTTCCCGACGGGTCAGTGTAACAGCTAACGCAGGTTGAGCGCTTACAGACCCACAGAGCCAACTGCTTTACAGTCATTAACTAAGTTCCCTGCTCACCCGTCCTGTGAGGTAGTTAGTAGATGGTACTTTTGTCAGACACAGTAAGAGGCCCGGTCAGACTGTCACTTGCCTAAGGTAACGCATGAAGTAGTAAGTAGTGGAGCCCAGGGTGGGACCCAAACTTTTGGGGTTAGCCCCATACCGAGTTGTATTAGTGGGAAAGCCTCCTTTTCCACCTCAGTTGCTTGCATGTCCAGGAAGCCTTATGTCTCCCCACTTTACCTAGGAAACCATGATACCCCTTTCCCCTTGATAGACGTGGAGACATTGTCCTGCAAATCAAACAGCAAGAAGGAAAGAAAACTTATGTGACAACTTTCTGGAGAAAACAAAATTCCAAAGCTCCGAACTCTAGTTTTAAATAACGGTGAAAACTGTAGTTGCGGAGTTTCCTTGTGGGTCACCAAGACGAGGCGCCAGACCAGCGGGGCACAATACTTAGCTCTCTAAGCCTGTTTCCTCCTTTGTAGAGTTAAAAAAAATCCCCACTCAGGGTAGGCACGGCAGGCTCCAGTAGTCTCTATAATCTTAATTCTGTTGTTGCATACTTAGGATGTTTCTCACTTTAAATATTATAGTACTGCTATGGTAAATCTTTTTTGTTTTTGAGATAAAATTCACCTTTTGAAAGTGTACAATTTGGTGGGTTTTATAGTATATTCGAGAGATTGTGCGACCATCACGTATCTCTCATTCCAGAACATTTTCATCAACCCAAAAAGAAACCACATGGCCCCAGTGCATCCCAAGCGTCTGGAGCGTTCTTGTTGGGCTCCAGCCCCCAGCCCTGTGCTCAGCAGGATGTTGGGGCCCTGCAATCTGGGCTGCCCCACTTGAGGGCTTGGGTGGGGCAAGTAGAGCCTCTTGCTCACGTTGAATTTCAGCCTTCAGAGAGTTGTCAACCTACCTCTCTGGGCTAGAGCAAGGGGGCCAAGGAGAGCCCAAGGAGTGCAGTTTCCCACTCCTAGAAGCCAGGAAGGAGGCTGACTGCAACCTTGAGTGGCCCAGCACAGCCCCACCCCACAAGCCTCGAGGCCCCCAGGGCTGAGACTTTCCTGGGCCTATACCTTCTGGATTTTTCAGCCAAGCCTGGAATGGTGTCTTGGGACAGGAGAAGGACCAGTTTATCCAGGAAACTGTGTGACACTCAAAACGAAAGCATTTGGAGTGCGGAGCCAAAGCTTTGCCACTCCTGTATGGAAAACTGCCAGATGCAAGGCAAAGCTGAATGAGATCCACCAGTAAGTCTCTACAGAGACCCCAGATTTGAAGCAGGTCCTGAAAAACTGCTCGGGAGTTTGCCGAACTTCGGAATTATCCGCAAGTGGAGGTTGAAAGACTTGTAGCCAAAGGAGTAGAACCTTTGAAAGCTCACTGGAACCATTGTAAAAATAAAATAGGATGACCTCAAAGCAACATTAACAGTAAGGAATGGAGAAGCTAAACAGCTACCTGAATTAGAAAGAACAAGTCAGCAAACTGATGGACATGTTATTTCATGTTACAGAGCTACAGCAGATGCTATCCAAACAACTCTCATCTGGAGGAAACTTGGCAGTTTTGAAAAACAGAAAATAAAGCATATTAAGACTGTATTTTCAGAGTGTATCACTATTGAAATGCTATTCACAGCAAAGCTTTAGAGGTATACTCTGCTGTCTACCAAAATATGCAAAAGATTGATGAGAAAGATTTAGAGGTTTTTTCAGAAGCTCTAGGTATCTACCAGATTACTCATCTGTTTAGATTTTGTAAGAGCATATTCAAAGTTGCCTTTGAGAGATTGCTATAAGCTAAGAGTGTATCTAGAGCAGGACAGGTGTCCACCTGTCGACTAAGAAAGGATCAACAAGCAGAAGATGAAGAGTTAGAAGAAAGTTAATTGTCCTAAGTACACGTCTCGTTTTTCTTTTCATCTTAAAATGACTCAGAACCCAGGATTACTATATAGTAAAACTTTATACTAGCTTGCTGTGTTAAACCTCACAATGAATTGGTACTGAAAATAGAGGGGAAAAAAAGGAAATTTATGCTGACTGAAAAATTAAGGTTTTAAAAATATTACACACCCAGGCATTTCAACCTCCTGCCTAATAATATGTTATCTTTTTGTATGAGCTCCCCGCTGTACCTGGGAGCTCATATAAAAAGATACATATTAATACACTGTACCTGGCTGGGAGTGCTATTATAAGTAGTAAGTAGACAACAGAAATAAAAGGTCTCCCAGTTCCACTTAGCTTCTTTTAGGTTGACTCCAGAAAAAGATCAAGTCATTCTGATTAATACAAATTCTATTTCATGAAACTTTTACTGAAACATCAGGTATCATCATTTGATCTATAAATTTACCTTTCGACAGTGTGTAACCAAACAGAATAAAGGAAGTATGACTCCAGTATATCTGTGTTTTACAAATGCATGAAGCATAAATTTTTGTTTAGCCGTAGCTGGTGTGGCTCAGTGGTTAGAGCACTGGCCCTTGCACCAAAGGGTTGTGGGTTTGATTCCTGGTCAAGAGCACATACCTGGGTCGCAGGTTCAATTGGGCACATGCAGGCGACCACCCATTGATGCGTCTCTCTCACATAGACATTTTTCTCTCTTTCTCCCCCTTCTACCCTTTCACTCTCTCTAAAAATCAATGGAAAAAATATCCTCGGGTGAGAACAACAATAAATTTTAGTTTAAATAAAAGTCACATTAACCTGATTATAGTTTTAAAACAAAACTGCTGTCATACTGAAGTATTATATGTGGTACTACAACTTTTGGAAAGCTAATAATCTGATGGAATGTTGCCTAAGAAAACATATAAACAAGTACACATGGAATATCATAAATCATTTAAAGTTCTATAAAAATTTTAAGCTACCAAGCTACCACCTAGTTAATAAAAAAATATAACCTTTTTCCTCAGTCACTCTTATTTCTAGAAGTATAAAACAATTTAATCAGTTTTTACCAACTCATTTGGGATAACTGGAAAGAGCAATTCTTCATAACAGAAAAATGGACTTTCAAGAACCTTTGAAAAAAAGACCTTTGTGCCAGTTAGTCACTCATTCTCTGCCGCCTCGCCCCCCAGCCCCTGTGAAACACTTCCCGTGTGTGTATGTGCCTGGATTTGCCTATTCTGGAGATTTCATATACATTGAATCAATTTTGTGTCTGACGTCTTCCATTTAGCATATCTTTTCACGGTTCATCTATGTTATGTGTCAGTGCTTCATTCTTTTTATGACCAAATAACATTCTGTTGTATGCATGTGCCACATTTTTTATGCATTCATCAGCTGAAGTTTCCACTTTCAGGCAATTATGAATAATGCTGCTATGAATGTTCCTGTCAAAATTTTTGTATGGCCATGCGTTTTCATTTCTGCTGGGTTTGGCTGGGTCATATGGTAACTGTTGAACCCTTTGGGGAACTACAAAACTTTCTAAGGTGGCAGTGGCATTTTATGTTTCCATCAGCAAATTGAGAAATTCGTTACAGAATTTGTGAAATGTTTGGTTAAATACCATACTCACTAAATTTTTCTTCCTTTGTATCAAAATAGCTCCAACTCAATCATAGGTTGACACAGAAGTGGTTGAATAAATGCTGAATTCTAGAATTTGGGCCAGACTTCTGGTTCTCTGATGCTAACAGGCACTCTGCACTCAAAAGTAGAAGTTGGGAAATAAAGGAGAATAGATTTCTAATCTGTTTGATTGCATTCAGCCCCAGAAGTTTTTTCTAATTGTTACGGCATTTAAATGTGGTTTTAAAATGTATTAGGTAAGGGAGAGGGGGAGACAGAGAGAGAAACATAGATTTGAGAGACACATCGATTGGTTGCCTCCCACACATGCCCTGACCGGAGCCGGGACTGAGCCTGCAACCCAGCCAGAACTCAAGTACCGAGGTTGCTGAACCCAGGTCAGGTCCTCCCCCACTGGTCTAACACCTGGTTCCATTCCCGCCCGCCTATAACATTACCGTGCCACACTGGGACTGGGACTTGAATTGTGTGGCAGGATTCAAAAAAAGCCCACCCAGGACCACCTTGCAGACCCAAACCAGTGCAGCAGGGACCTAGTTCCAGCAGGGACCCACAATGCCCCACAGCTCTTTGCTTTGCCTCAGTGGACTTGGATGGGGAACCTGGCCACAGTACCTCAAGATAACCCCTTTGGGATATATACTTGCCAACTGGGAGAAATCTGACCAGAGTCTCAAGAAAAAGAAGCTAACCTTTTGCAACACGGCCTGACCCCAATATAAAGCGGGCAATAGAAAGATTACAAGCCCTGCTCGTACTAAGGGAATACCACCTCTAGACACCATCTCCACCTCCTTCTGTGCCCAGGCCTCATCGTCCCTCTGACAGAGGGCAAGGATCTCTTGGCTCTGAAGGAAAACTTGGCCCCTCTTCAGCAGGAAGCAGCTACAGAAGAGACCTTGTGCCCCTTTTCAGAGCCAAGATCCTTGGGG